CAACATCTACTGGAATTTTGTTCAGTGGTCTTTGGGGTGCGGTCTTTGCTGATTTTAGTATAGCAATTTTCATCTGGGTGTCGTCATATCCAAACATTCCTATTTTTTCTCATGTGTTGATGTCGAAGTTGGTTATTTGAATCCTCGCGGAGGCTTTGAAGGCATTTTAACTAGAGGAGAAGGAACGCCACTTTTTAAAACTATCCGAAAACCACTGATCTGATCAGTATTAGACATGGGTAAAAACGAAAAAAAAGGTTTTTATATTTGCGTTGAAACTAGTTGTTCGGACTAGACATGGCATGGATTTCAAGCGATTTCAGGGCTATTTATTTTAAGAACACATATTTCTTCCCAAAATGGTTATAATATTCGAACCTAGATGTTACACTACATTTTGCTTTGAAGGTAGTGGGCGGTCTTCATCAAATGCTACTCCATTTAAAGTTATCATCTTAATGCCAATATTAAAGTTCTCAATAACATTTTGAAAGGTTACCACGAAATACGTCACATTTTAATATCTTGTTTATTATCGGGAAAAATTAAAAACTCAAAACTTTAAAAGCAATAAATATTTATTCATAATCCAAGCTAATTAATTTTTTAATACGAAAATAAACACAAGTGAAAAGTGACACCTACACAAGGTAAATTTTTCACTTGTCGGCAGGAACGACGACACAAAGACTGCAAAATTCAGAATTAACCAGAACCCTCTATATTCATATTACAACATGTCTCTAATAAGGAAGTGGAAGAGGTAAACAGCCAACATAAATTGATTCTTTTGTTTATAAATGGATAACCATACTCTGATGTTAGAATAATGGCGTTCTGTCGTTGCTGGTGATGGGGTTATGGAAGAGCACGAGAGGGTATAAAATTACCCACCTTGATGTTAGATATTGTCCCGATATACATAGATATGGAAGAGGAGGAAGGAAAATGTTATTGCCAATGGCAAAGGAGTCTGTTATATTCAGCCAGCCAGTCAGTCAGCCACATCACCAACAGTAACACTTTTCCCGGGGGCTACTGGAAAACATCGTTGTTCTTGTTGTTGCTGCTGTTGTTGATATATGACTAAGGCAACAGTTCAGCTCAGATGTTTATATTTTTTCCCTTTTCCAGTGTATACAGGCTGGTAGGGTTGTTCTAAAGACCAGAACGTGGGTGCCGTTGTTGTTGTGTATTGTTGTACTTGTATTGTTTTTATTATATCAGTATATGTGCTGCGGCGCAATATTATTTCATTTGATCAAAAGTAAACAACAACAACTGCAGGTCATGACAACGGCCATAACGAGGACTATGATGATGAAGACAGCGGTCATATTTGGAATATAAACATGAAAATTTTCCATCAAGCTATCTACAACAGATCGAAGGATTGGATAAATTTGCCCAGGGATATATAATGTGCACAAATCAACAGATAAAACCCCAAAACAATACCATCATATAGAATCACAATATGAAAATTAAATAAATAACATTATTTCCGTATATAATATCCTGATATATTTGGAGATGTGCGTTGAGAATTTCCTGTTCCATTTTTGTATTATTATTTTTTCGTAATGGAGGTGTCGTAGTTATTTTTAAACCACAAAAGTAATTAATTAAATTCTCTTGTACGCCACCCCGATGACTTTCAATTATTTAAATTACATTAATCCACAACCAGGTTGTTGTGTTATTCAGTGGAAAATAGAGATTGTGGTAGGATTTTCCGCGTGATTAGAATGGGAAAATGTAAAATGGGGGAGTGATGAGATTTTAAAATAAAATTTGTATTAAATTTATCAAGCAGTTATATCAAGGGTGAATAGTGGATAACTTTATTATTGAGTATAGACAGTGAGGTGAGGAAAATTGTGATAGGAACGTACAGAAAATGACCCCTGACTTTTGTATGGGGACTATGTTAAAACAAACATGAGGGTCCCGATTGTAAATTAGAGCGTAAATATTGTCACTTCGGTTGGCAAATTTGCCTAGGGCCTTTGACATACATATGGGGGCTATATCATGATCAAAGTCCCATATGCCAAAGGTCCATTATATGGACCAATATTGGTATTTTATAGGTAGAACTGGTACCCAATGAAAACCCATTCGGTTGAAAAGTGTGCACAAAATTCTTACAATTTGGTAGGGTTCTGATGGCCTTTAAAAAGATTTTCATAAAAATTCCAAAATATTAAAAAATCCTTATAAAAATTCAAACAAAAAAATCTTTAAAAAATTCACGCCTGTAGGGTTCTGATGGCCTAGGGTTCTCATTGGCCTTTAAAAAATTATTCATAAAAATTCCAAAATATTCTTTAAACCAGTGAGCGGAGCAATATATTTGGACGGGACCGACCATATGATACCCTACACAACTTACACGAAAATCTAACTTTCTGCAGTGTAGTTCTGAGCTTGGGAAATATTTCGGGATATTTACACCCTCTTGACCGACTAGATCATCAACAAAAATTAGTAATATTCAGTACAGCTCTTCTAATTACTTGTCCAGATTCCCTTCACTGTGGGTTGTGTTGTGATGTTCGGCTTTAAATTGTGGCCTATAGATCGACACGAAAAAAAACACAAAAAATTAAGTTTTCGGTCCACTTCATCCGAATATTATTATCTGGTCATCACCGAAAATTATAGGGTCTATGTCCTCCACGGGTAAATATATACGCCATAGAATACAAATTTTGTCATTTTTCACACAAAAGTCACGGTCCATTTGACCCGCTAAATACTGACCGATCTTTATCAAAACAGGCATGCTTATTCTTTGGGCCGATCCCCTTCTCCATGTAAAAGTTCGAGATGTTTGGGCCATAATTGCGGCCTTTGGAGCGACCAGAAAAACCGACAAAAATTAAGTATTTGGCCCATTTTATCCCCTAAATATTATCCGATCTTCTCCAAAAAACAATAGGGGTCTTCATTGGGCCGAACCCAACCTACATGCAAAATTTCGTGAAGATTGGTTCATAACTGGTGCTTGTATCGTGGCAAAATCCACGCCTGAATGTTTCGGATGGCCTTTAGGAAATATTCCAAACATCTTTTTTACGAAATTCACGCCTGTATGGTTCGGATGACCTTTAGAAAATGTTCTTTTCTGATGGCCTTAGAAAATGTCCTTAAATGTACCTATATATTTTTTTTAAATCCACATTAATAAGTTTCGGATGTCCTTTAGAAAAATATCCAAAATATTCATTAAAAATCCACGACTGCATGGCTGCTAGTCTTAAAAAATGCCCTTGATATGACAATTTATATTTAAAAAATCTACGCCTCCATTGACCTTTAGAAAATATTCCAAAATGTATTTTTAAAAAAATCTAAGACTCCATTGACCTTTAGAAAATATTCCAAAATGTATTTTAAAGCCTCGCCTATATTGCTCAGTTTGGCCTTTGAAAATATTCTTTAAAAAAAATTTCGCCTCAGTTTGGTCTTTAAAAAATATTTAAAAAATCTAAACCTCAGAAAATATTCTTTGAAAAATCCACGCCTCAGTCAGGTCTTAAGAAAATACTCTTTAATGAATCATTCGAAAATATTCTTTAAATATTCTTCAAAAAATCTATGCCTCAGATAGTCTTTTGAAAATATTCCTTAAAAAATCTACGCCTCAGATAGCCTTTTGAAAATATTTTTTCAAGAATCTATGCCTCAGATAGTCCTTTAAAAAAATTCTTTAAGGAATCTATGCCTCCGATAGTCTTTGGAAAATATTCTTTGAAGAATCTATGCCTCGGATAATCTTTTGAAAATATTTAAAGAATATACACCTCAGATAGTCTTTGGAAAATATTCTTTAAATAATCGAGGCCTCAGTTTGGCGTTCAGAAAATATTCTTTAAAAAATCTACACCTCAGTTTGGTCTTAAGAAAACATTTATTAAAAAATCTACGCCTCAGTTTGGTCTTTAGAAAATATTCTTTAAAGAATCTACGCCTAAGATAGTGTTTTGAAAATATTAATTAAAGAATCTACGTTTCAGATAGTCTTTTGAAAGTAATATTTAAAGAATATACGTCTCAGTTTGTTCTTTAGAAAATATTCTTTAAAAAATCTACGCCTCAGTTAGGTTAAAAAAAACAATTTCAACAAATTCTACGCTCCCGATGATTTTTGGAAAATATTCTTTAAACAATCTACGCCTCAGATAGACTTTAGAAAATATGGAACATAATTAGGACCGCAAAATTCTTTAAAAAAAATCTCGCCTACATAGTTTTGCTGCTATTTAGAAACCATTTCCCAAGAATTAGGATTGGTTACTAGACCTAAATTTATCCTACTCCCTTTATTTTGCATTACAATATAACCCATCACTCTCTACATAATATTACACACCCTTTTTTTGCATATGTTTTGTGTAAACAAAAATATTTGCTGCGCTGCTAAATCACACATAAATTTGCCAACATGCCCTCCGGAGGACCATAAATAAATAACAACAAATGCCAGCAGCCCGAACACTCATACACGGACACACATACATGTGAGTTAAGATTATTTAATATTTTACACACAAATGAAATTGTCCAAAATGGTGCAACAGATGTTGCCATTTTGTCGCCTAAAGGATGGGTCGGTCGTCCGACACACACACACAGTGCCAACCAGCTAACAACAAGTTAAATTGCCAACAACAACAACAAATAATGCCAAGAACACCGGCAACGATAACAACAACAACAATAATGTCACACCAACATCATAACTATGGTGTATATACAACAAGAACAACAGCAACAACACCATGTTTGCCACCGAACAACAAAAGTAATTACAATAATATTCATATAAACGTTAACAAAAGTCCACAACAATAACATGCATACATACACACACACACACATATTTATGGGTATGTATGTGTGTGTGTCAGTACCCTGTAGTCAATCAGAGAACCATGTATCTCTATGTCACCACCTATTTTATAGCAAAAATGGTACTAGATAAAATGTCAACAACTTCCCTTTATTGCGGGAGTATGTAAACGTTGTAGACTTTATCTGTAGTGTATTTGTGGCAACATTGTCAACGATCGCGTCAACAGTTTTTTACCGTTAGACTTTGATGTCAATAGATACACATTTTTTGATGTTTGCTTTGCTTCTCATTTCATTAGTTTCTTTTGTGAAAAACACACGTGTTGCTTGAAATTGTGCATTGTGCGAAAAATATTGTTGGAGTTATTGTGCGAATAAGGTATTTAAAGTGATTACAAATAAAAAAAATTATAAAATATGAGTAAAAGACAAAATATAAGTAAAAGACATTATAAAAGACTTGTTAAAAAACAAGCCACAATCTATATAAACAGAAGTGTACAAAATGAGCAAGAAAATGGTGAATGTGAAATTCTAGAAGACCATGAAGATTTTGTGGAGAATTCGGAGGATTGTGCTATTCCGAAATTGACGTTGCGGGACAAATTGAGGAAGTGGTACATCGAAACAGCTCCTTCTAGGAAATGTGCGGAGAAGCTGCTATTAATACTAAATGAGGAAGGTCTAGATGTTCCACTTCGTATAGAAAGTTTGTTGGGAAAAAAAGCACAGGTTTTGGTGAGAAATGTTTGCCCTGGAAGCTACTGCCACATTGGAATTGAAACGCAGCTAAAGAAGTTTGAACACGTTTTGCAAAACTACGACGAGGTCGTTTTGGATATAAACATTGACGGGATTCCCCTGTTTAAAAGCTCGCGAGTCCAATTGTGGCCAATTCTTTGTAAAATAGTCAACATAAAAGAAAAAACTCAACCTTTTGCTGTTGGTATATACTTGGGAACCACTAAACCGAGTTGCATTAAAGATTATTTAAAAGACTTCGTTAAGGAAGCAACTTCATTAAAGGAAATTACGTTAAATGGAAAAATAATGAAATTAAAGTTTCGTTGCTTAACATGCGATACTCCAGCCAAAGCTTTCATTTGCGGCGTTCCTGGGCATACCTCAAAGTATGGTTGTACGAAGTGCACACAGGTTGCGACAAAAGTGAACAATGTACTGACATACAGTAGCGCTGTTGGAACTTTGATATCCGATATTGATTTTACTTTGAGAAAGTATCCCAACCATCATTCTGAACTGTTTAAGAAAGAGAGAAGTCCGCTTGAAGAAATAGGATTTGGCATGGTATCACAGACTCCGTTAGATAGCATGCATCTTATTGACCTTGGAGTCACAAAAAAAATGCTTGTTAGAATAGTGAACAACAAAACACAAGAAAAGACTCCAAAAAAAAATATATCAGAAATATCTTCTGACCTAGTGAAACTAAAAAAATGTATTCCAAAGGAGTTTCCTAGAAAACCTAGGTCTTTAGATGACCTTCATCACTGGAAAGCGACTGAATTTCACCAGTTCCTCGCATATACGGGCATAATTGTCCTTCATAATAAAGTACACCAGGATATATTCTACGAGTTTTTAACTTTACATTGTGCTTATCGGCTACTTAGCTCCCCGCGACACGTTGCTGAAAATATTAAACAGTCTAATGATTTGCTTCAATTATTTGTCGAGAATTTCTCAACTGTATTCGGGCCAAACAGTGTTTCTTTTAATGTTCACAATCTGCTGCATTTGGCTTCTTGTGCAGAAAAATACGGCCCCCTTATTTCGTTTTCTGCATACGACTTCGAAAACAAATTGCAGATTTTGAAAAGACATGTCCGAAAACCCTCATTAATCCTTCAACAAATTGTACGAAAAGAAAAACTCGCAGTCTATATTCAAACTAAAAACGATGACATTAAATACGAACGAGATATAATTGTAGGAGCTTTTGTTAATGACTGTTACATATCTTGGAAGGAGCCCGATAATATTTGTTCCACGACTTCATTTACTGTCATAAAAATTGAAAATATAAATCAAGTCGATGAAGTTTATATTGAAGGTCGGGCATTGCTGCTCTTAGAGAGTTTTTACGATGAACCCGTAAATTCTTGCGAACTAGGCATCTTCAAAACAAATTTAGCTTTGGGCGAAAAGCAAAAATTTTCAATTAGAGATGTGCAATATAAATTTGTATGCCTGCCATTTCACTCGGATTACGTAATAATACCCATTTTACACTCATGCATTCCAGAAAAAGTACAAGCCAATATTCCAAGATCTTCCAGTAAATAGCACATTGTTAATATTAATTTTGTACACCCGCTCTACACAACAATGTCTGACGAAAGAGCAATACCATCCAAGGGAAAAATGAAATATTATTCTTCAGAAGGTAAGTTTTAATATAACGAATTCGCATTACCGAAATTGTATTCATTACAACATTATATATTTTTCCAGCAACTTCAAAGTGTACTTCGTGTGAAGATATAGGAAAAAAATGGACACGATACTGCAGATTTTGGGCGAGCATAAAATTTTGCTAGATCGCATTGGTTCCCAAAACTCGATTGTGCAAAACATTATGGCCATCTTCCCAATAAACACGGACGAAAGTCTAAAGCAATTAGAAGACTTATTAGCAACTCAGTCAGACCCATATGTAAGCTTTTTGTATTCAGGAAATAGAATGTATAATTAATTAATAAAATTTATAATTATTCTTGCAGATTCGCCAAATGAAAAATCTCATTGGTGGCAACGTCGCACGCAATTTACACCTTGTATTTGGGAAATCTATTATAATGAATTACAATGTGGATGGAACTTTTGGCAAGAAAAGTTTATCTAAATATGGAAAAGTCCATGCAGCAATAATAGGTACAAAGCCAAAAAACCTTTCAAAAATACCAATAATTAAATTTAATCTTTTTGTTTCAATACTTAGATGTAATATCAACGTACGACAAGTGTGCAGACAAGGCTCTAAGAACAGCTTTTCAACGTCAAAAAAAGAAATTCTTTAAAGAAAACAGCCGCAGGAATGCAGAAATAAATGATAAGACCAAAGAAAATGAATTTAATTAATTTAATCTTTATGTACATATATATTTTTGCCTTGTGTTTTTTCTATTGTAAGACTGAAGAAAATGAATTTAATTAATTTAATCTTTCTGTACATATATATTTGTCCCTTATGTTTTTTAATTGTAAGACTGAAGAAAATGAATTTAATTTATTTATTCTTAACTGTAAAGCTGAAAATGAAATTAATTGATTTAATCTTTATCCAGATATAAATTTTTCGCTTATGTTTTTAATTGTAAGACTGAATTGAATTGCTTTAATCTGTGTATTTATTTAATAATATATATATATATATATATATATAGAATAATTAATGACATTAAATAAATCATATGAATTCATAACTAATTTTCTTTTCAATTTGAATACAATGTCGTTGGTAATCTACTACAATTCACAATAATATTGTAGACTCAATCTGCTAAGAAGTACTAGTGAATCTTTGGTGTCAATGTCGCCATATGGCGTCAAAGTTAATACCTAGTCAGTAGAACTTCTGTCTACTGGTGGATTTCCTATGACATGGTAATGTTAATTGTCAATAGAAGATTACATTAAGTTGGGTACACTTAGTCAGTAGTACTAACGACAATGTCAGTATAAAATTACTACAATTTTACTATTTCCATTCCCTACAGGGTATATTGCCAGAACTGTTGACAATCATTATTATTATTTTGTTTTGTTTTTCGTATTTTTCCTGTGTACCCAAATTATATCAAGTCACCTAGCATTTATTCTATTCACCATCCGCTCCCGCACCCTAGCAGCATTTGATTTGTTGTTGTTTTAATTCCAAGGAAAAAATTGTGAAAAATATATATAAATTGCCAACAGAATTCTGGCACTCGATTTAATATGACTCTCCTGGTGGGTAAAAAACACATAACGGTGATTATTATGGGTTTTTTGTGCTCACAATTTAACATCAGATTTAAATGAAACAGCAAAACAAAAATATAATTAACATTTTTGTTGTTGCTGCTGTTGCTCTGCGGCGGTAAGCCAAATTTAAATGGAAACTTCCTAATTGATGGTTGTATTTCGGGGTGTGATATTAAGTGTGTTTTCATTAAACGGTATGGTGGTAGGGTGGGTGGCGGCTATTTTATAAAGGTAACGAAATCGAGAAAATTATGCACCATACATAGTGTGGACTCCGGACGAGACCTCACAGACTTTCAATATATAATAGTAAAACCCTGTAATCGGCATTAGTCAGAAGTGCGGTCATGGGCAGGAGATTATAGATACAATCATACTTCTGTGTATACGCTCAGCTTTGTTCTTATGTTCTATACCACAAAGTGGAGTCTATATTAAATATGTTATTCTGATTACAACACCTCGAAATGTTAACGATTGAGATCGCAATATTCAAGATAGAGCTTTGAAAATGTGTACGTACATACATTGCTGTTACTTCTAAGATGTCTGGTATTGCATATGGGATGTATAGTTGTTCATTCTGGCATAGCCGCCATATATATATATATGAGAACCCGCCAAATTTTCGGGTACTTTCAATGTTATAGCCGTACCTTCCAACCGAATGGACCGCAAATTGATAAATCGGATTCTTAGAGAGTAAACAACAATTTTCAATATCGATCCTTTTTTTACCCATATATAATAACCGCCTCATTTAAAGTATTTTTTAAAAAGGTAGTCGCATTTTTCGAATCTTCAGAGGTTAAACAAGGTCTTCGAAAAACTAGTAGATTTTAATTAGTCTTAGGTGCACTGCATAATCGAAGTGGTTGTAATTTATCATTCCGGGTTAAACGAGGGTGGCATTAACCCGAATAGTGCTGTAATTATTTTTTTCGAATTGTGAGACGAAACTTTCAGCGTGTCTAGATTGTGGGTCGCTGAATTCAAACATTTGATTTGTATTATTTTTTCTTATCAGGATAATCGACAGGATAAATTTTTGGGCTGTGGCCGTATGTTCACACTAGCTCTGCTCGGGTACAGGTTGCTTAGATGATTTATTGATCGTATTATGAGTGTGACCAATATGGTCACGCTTGCACAGCTCGGGTTAAAGGACCATTAAAGGCCCCTCTTAATTTCGGTATTTTAAAGGCTTTAGCCATATTGACTGCAAGTTAATATTACGGATTCTTAGAGACACCTTCTATATCGATGCATATTTTGACCCATTCAAGGTCAAGTTTTCCAACCGACGTCGTTTTTTTCTCTTTTTTTTTTGAATTGTTCGCGGAAAAAAATTAAACATGTTTTCCAGATAGAGATCTTCAGAATTTGAGGAATTTGTGCGGTCTTAGGTTCTGGGATCTTCAAAAATCTTGGTAAACTGTTTCCCTTTTCTTTGAGGGTGCAAAATTTGTATAGGTCAACCAAACTCGGAATGTTGACAAATTTAGGCGCATTTTTTCAAGTGGCTGTAATTTGGAATTTAGGATTTTGATGTTGTAGAAAATTAGGATCGGAGGATGGTCTTCCAGAAGGTCTAAGATATTCTAGATATAGAAGAACTGAGGTAAGTGTTTTAGCTGCAGAAGACCTAAAGGAGCTCGTCTAGCTATGAAGGTTCTTAGATATAGGTGAAAGGAGAAATGTTATTTAGCAACAGAAGGCCTATTGTGGGTATTCTACCTCCAAAGAGCATGATAATTGTATTCTAGCCATAAATGGTCCTATAAATATTTTATAGCCATAGAAGACCTGAACTATAGAAGATTCAGATAGCCACTTTGATAAAGTGGTCCGATAAAGGTTTTATGTCCATAGAAGACCTGAGCTATAGAAGATTTAAATATGTCTTCTTTCAGCTATAGATGGCCTGATGGATGGAGGTAAGTCATTTAACTATTGAGACTTGAGACAAGTTTGATGGGTGGAGAAGATATAAGGAAGGGCTACTAGCCCTAGAAGTTCTGATTAGAGTCTTTTAATTGTCAAACGTCCTGTTAAAGATCTTCTAACTAAATAATATCTCTTAGATGTGTTCTGTACATAAAAGACCTTCTGTTCTTAGAACACCCCTTCAAAGGTATTCTAACTACAAATTTTCGCTAATCGTTTTCTGTCTCTAGAATAACTGTAGTAAACTATATATATTTCGTATTAGTGCTGCCTTGTGCCATCTGACATTTCCTAAAAATATATTAAAAAAACCATGACACGAAAAACCATTTTAAAACAATTGAAAAAAATATTTTAAAAAATCTCCACCCTGAAAAAAACCAGTGAGCGAAGCAGTATTGTCGGATGGGGCCGACCATATGATATCCTGCAAAACAGCAAATGAGCTCCAGGTTTCTGCGAATCTATATTTCGAGCCTGGGAAATATTTCGTCGTCATTGACCATAATCGGAACTTCAAGCTATTTCCTAGCCATCAATGCTACATTTCCGCCCTCTAGGTGATAATACTAAACAATATCAGAATACGTAGAAACCTGGATGTATGTAAGTAAAACTCCCACATCCGAGTACATACAACAATATAATTGGTATCTTGGATATATTACCAACTTCTCGGGTATATATCCTTCATATATTTGTACTTCAGTAGACAAAGACTTGAGAATACAAATTTTGTAATTGTTCACACAATTTTGTAATTGACCACACTTCGTTGAAAGGTTCAGGCATTCAGGCCTGATTCCCTTCTTCGTGTAAAATTTCGTAGTGTTTGTGTCATAATTGGGTTTGGGTCATTTGGCAGATACGAGACTTATATTCTCCAGGATAGATCCCACAAAAAAACATTGATTTGTAAAAAATCTATCCTCATTACTTTTCATTTATCCATCTTTTTGAGGTCTTCAGGATGAGCAAAATGGACCAAAGGTCTCCGTCAGAAACAACAGCTAAACATTAAGCGGATTTACATCATATAACCAATATATGTAAGAATACTTCAAAATTTGGCTTTTGTAACAGAGTTTGAAGTTGTCCAGAAATTAAACAATCAATGCTCCACCATTTTTAATGGCTATTTTCTACTATTTGGAACACATATTTTTATAAAAGAGAATCTTCGCTAATGTATTCTATCTCTAATTTGTGGTTATTATAATAAAGAAATATTGATATTCAATATAAACAGTCTAACTTTTCTAATAAAATATTATTCAAAATCAAACATGTACTTACTTTTTAGCATACTTGTAAGGACTTCCTTATATTTAATTATTTATTTAAATTTATTATATCAAAAAACATCTTAAGCATTTTAGGAGTATAGAAAAAAACTTGTATACAAAATTTCTAGAACTACATTTCAATAATGATAAGGACTTCCTCTAAATTCCTGTTGGTCATACACATACACATTGCAAATTTGGTTTTATTTGGATTTAAAACAATTTTTTGTTTTACAGGTGAGTAGCATGAAGAAGAACAAGAAGTAGGCAGTGACATTTACAGTGATGTGTGTATTTTTTTCAGTACGTTGCAGTGGAGGTAAGCATGATTTAGGTGAGATTTATTTATTTTTTTTAATAAAGAGAAAAAAATAGTAGAGAGAAAAAAGGAAATGGAAAAAACAAAACATGAAATCTCCTTCATCAACCAAAACCATATTAAAAAAAAAAAATATATATATATATATATTGTCATTGAACTACAAAACAAGCTAAAAGCGTAAGAAAATATCATACTTGGGTTGGGGTAGAATTGGGGAAAAAGAGGATACCAAACAAAATGCCAAAACGTTACAAAAAAAGGAAAACCAAAAAAAAAAAAAAACAAAACGGAAACTTATAGCGAAACTTTCATTAGCAGCCACAGAGAAAAGGAAAAAAACTGAACCCCAAAATATAATCAACATCACGTCCTTATTTTCCACCTAATTTGCGTGTGATGTGTTTTGTATCCGTTCCGTACGTTGGTTCGTTCGTTCGTTAGCGCCTCTCACTATCTTTATCTTAATTATTCTATAGCAGTAGTGGTGCTAATATCTGTTTTCAAAATGTGTCAAAATCAGAAAGGAAAACATTAACACAAAGCATAACGAAAGCTAAATATACATGTACAAAGGAATTTGTGGTTGGAGAAGCGCGATAAGTTTTGGG